CTCGCTCCGGCCCGGCCCGGTTGGGAGCCTCCGGAGGGAGCGGCTCCGCCTGCCGAGAGCGCAGGCCCGGCCATGACCGACTTTAAATTGGGCATCGTGCGGCTCGGCCGGGTGGCCGGGAAGGTGAGCGGTGTGGAGCGGTGGCGAGGCCTGCGCGGGCTGGGGCACCTGGGCGAGCAGCTGCGCGGGCCTGCTCGGTTCGGGCGCCGCCTTCCTCGCGGGAAGCTTCCCCGCGGCCGGGGGCGCGCCCCTCGGCCTCAGGACTCGTGTGGGACTGGCTTGCGCGGCACAGTTCCCGGCGTTCATCCCGTGCTGCTCTGGGCATCTGCGGCGGCTCTGGCGGCCGGGCTGCACCTGCGGCCGCACGGTTTAAACGCGGCGGCCTCCCGCCGTAACGCCCTCGGCCCGAAGCTCTGAGGGGAGTGGAGTGGCCGGTCCGCAGTAGACCTCGGCGGCGGCGGCGGCGCGTTTTAACGTTGCCCAAGGGGTGGCCACGTTCGGTCACTCGAGTCGCAGGCATTTCTAGAGCACAGACGAGGAGCCAGGGCCCTGATCTTGGTAGGCTCGAAGGCTCTCAGGTGCTCCTCGCCCGGGCCACCACCCACCACATGTTGAGGCTGGGCTCCGAGGCTTGGTGCTATTCAGGAACTGTGGCCCTTAATTCTGTTCCTTCCCCCACTAGCTGCAGCTGCTGGTGGGAGAGAGGAGCAGACAGAAAGTAGAGGCAGGTAACTGAGATCCTAGAAAGATCTTCCAGGAAAGTAATACCAACCTGTCTTCAGAACTGTTTCGTTTGCATTTTTTTGCAAGAGCTCAGGAAAGGACTGCTAGAACTTTCTGACTAGGGAGGGGTGGGAGCCTAGATGCCTTCGACTCGGTAATTAATTGCAACAGCCTGGGCCATTAAAGCTTTTATTAGGAGTGTTTGCGACCAGAGGAAGAAGCACTATCCAATGAGCACGTGCAATAACTACCCAGCCTACTGAATCTTCTACCTCAGTCCCATTCCCTTCCTTTACTCCAGTACACTTGTGATTGACTGAGATTCTGGGTGAGTTAAAAGCTCAGTGCCACTTGTCAGGCAGGGTCGGTCTATCTGGTGTGGATGGGCCCTGAAGCCTAATTACCCACTCTGGTACATGTGATCATGTTTTGCTATTTTTGTTGTTATTGATTTTTTTTTTTTTTTTGATGGTTTTTTTCGAAGTGATGTAGCCCTGGGTGTCCTGGAACTCACTCTGTGGACTAGGCTGGCCTCAAACTCACAGATCCTCCTTAGTGCATGGAATTAAAAGGCATGGGCCACAAGGTTGCCCAGCCGTGTTTTACCTTAAACATACTGGATTCGACTTTCTTCCTTGATATTTTTTCCTTTTTTTTTTTTTTTTTTTTTTTTTTGAGACAGCATGAGGACACTCTTGGCTGCCCTGGAACTCACGAGTTCTGTCTGCCACTACCTTAGAGTGTTGGGATTAAAGGTGTGTTCCCCCATGCCCAGCTTGGACTTCCATGTAGATGCGGTTACTTTCTGTCTCATTGGGAAATATTGTAGATTCTTGTTGCTGCTAGTTATGGTGTTACTGTTTCTTAGGCCCATCTCAGATGTAACCTTTGAAACATGGTTTATTTTCAGACCAAATACACACTGATAGATGAGCAAGACATACCACTGGTGGAGAGCTACTCCTTTGAGGTAAGGATGACTTTTGTTTGATGCCCAGGAAACATAAATTAGTTTCCTTCCTGGTTTTGGGAGAACAAGAGGACAGCCACTCATACTTATTCTCAGCTCCAAAACAGGTTGTGACAGCCTGGATAGACACTGCTGTCCAGTAGAGCCCATTGTGACCTCTTTCACACACATTACTTTTTGAAAATTCACTTTCTTGTGTTTTTAATTAGATGTGTGTGTAGCTTTGGAGCCTGTCCTGGAACTTGCTCTGTAGACCAGGCTGGCCTCAAATTCACAGAGATCCACCTGCCACTGCCTGCTGAGTGCTGGGATTAATAATTAGATGTCTTGAACCAGATGAGCAGACTTTTTTGAGTATAGCTGTCCTCCATCTTCTGCACCTTGATCTGGGAGGCCATCCTATCCTCAGTGTAGTCTTGGTAAAGAATTTCTGGCTCTGCTGCTCCTCTTTCACCTTCTCCCTTCAGCAACTTTCATATCCATCACTTCAGTCCCACACTAACATGTCAGCACCTCACACTTTCATGGCTGCTACATATCTAGGAATTATTTGGATTGTGTTTTTTTGAGGGGGGGACAGGGTCTTGCTATGTACCTCAAGCCAGCTATGAACACTCACTCTCCCTGTCTTCATTTCCTGAGTGCTGAGATTGCAAATGTGGACCACCACAGCCAACTTTATGAGCTTTTTTTTTTTTTTTTTTCCCCTTTCAAGCATTTTTTTCCTGGGTTTTATTTAATTTTATTTTATGTGTATGCACTAGTCACAGAAGAGTTGTGAGCCATCATGTAGGTGCTGGGCATCAAACTCAGGTCATGAAAGAGCAGCCAGTGCTCTAAACTGCTGAGACATCTCTAGTGCTACCCCCATCCAACCCCCTTTCTGGACTTTTTTAAGGGTGGGAAATTTTGTTTTGTTTTGGTTTTTGAGACAGGGTTTCTCTATGTAGTTTTGGTGCCTGTCCTGGATCTCGCTCTGTAGACCAGGCTGGCCTCAAACTCAGAGAGATCCACCTGGCTCTGCCTCCTGAATGCTGGGATTAACTGTGAGTGGCACCACCGCCCAGCAGGGGTGGGAAAATTTACTTCTTGGTGTCCACAATCTTCATGAAGGTTTCTTTCCTAAGTGGAGCAGGAAGCCCCTGTACTTTGTGAGTCCTTGAAGCAGGATGTCATCTGTACCTCTGGCATTTTTCTAAGCTGCATTTGAATTGTTGGTGAGAGGTGGAGGCTTTCCAATAGACCTACTCTGCTCTGTGCTCCTTCGCAGGCTCGAATGGAAGTAGATGCTGATGGGAATGGTGCTAAGATATTTGCATATGCCTTCGACAAAAACCGAGGAAGGGGCTCGGGCAGGCTTCTGCATGAGCTGCTGTGGTATGTATTTTCCAGCTGATTCGTCTTTCCACCTATTCCCCATGTGAGCTATGATATGCACAGTATGCCTAGAGAGCATTGTTCTCAGTGGAGTCGGACTCAACCTTATCTTCCCTGAGTCTGGGAGTTTATTTTGTGGCCTTTGCCACTAACTCAAAGGAATGACTAATGTACATATCACTTTAAACAACTGGTGGGATTCTGATGAGACAGGCTGTGTGGAGGAAGGGGTTTGCTTTTTGACCCTTATGGTGAGCCAGGCTGAATCCTTAGAAAATGAACTATTGATCCTGAGTGTAGAAGGTAAGGTTTGAAATGTTGAGACCTTCTAGGCAGGGAACTTGTCTCTAGATTATTTTGGTGGTTTAGGGGTTCTATCCTTTACCCTCTGAGCAAAGCCCTTAAATCTAGGAGCAGAATCATCAACCTGGTCCCCTGTTTGTGTGGGCCAGACTGATGTGCTTGGCTTCCTCTTGGTATGTCCCTTGGGCTGGGTAAGGGCCCAGTTCAGACTACATGGTTGGTATTTCTGTGTGGTTGGACATTCATGCTCAAGTAAAGTGCTTGAGGCTCTTTCCCTTAAGAACAAAATTCTTTCCCTAGGGAACGACACAGGGGAGGTGTGGCTCCCGGGTTTCAGGTGGTACATCTCAATGCTGTGACTGTGGACAATCGCCTGGACAACCTGCAGTTGGTACCATGGGGCTGGCGACCCAAAGCTGAAGAGACCTCCAGCAAACAAAGGTGGGTCTTCCCTGGCCAACACCCGACACCTAAAGGGCCATCCCATGTTTCCGTGTTCCTGTTTTGGGCTTTAACTGTGAGTGCTTTGGGACCTTGATAACCCACCTTTTGGGGGGCGTGGGGAGCATTGTCTTCATGGGAGAGGGAAAATTTTTCCTTTTTGGGGGGTTTTGAAAATTGTCTCCCTGGCTATCTTAGAAGGCAGTATGTAGACCAGGCTGACCAGGCACAGAGATTCTCCTTCCTCTGCCTCCCCTGTGCTAGGAGTAAAGGTGTATATATAAACCCCCATGCTTAGCTAGAAGAATTTTTATGATTAATTTTTGGGATTGATTTTGTGATAATTGCCTCTAGGGACATTTTAACTGATGTGATGGAATGAGACCATACTCCAGGACCACACAGATGATGGGCCTCTGTCATGTTCTTTGCTGAACAGCTTTCCCTGAGCTGTGATTTAAAGGAAGTAGTAGGCCAGTGGCTTAGGGACTGGGCCTCTTGGTTTCCCAGTTCCCTGTGGTCCTGAAAACAGCATTGCACAAGGTTCTATCCTGGAGGTCATGTTCTTGCTGGCCCTGGGACTCACCACAGTGAACCTGACGAATCTTTGGAGAAGCACTCAGGGACCAGCAGGAAATGGTTGGGGGAATTTGAACAGATAGTCCCAAGCCACACAGGTGTCATTAACCTGTTCATAGGCCTCTCCTGAGGGCTTCTAAGCAACCTTCCTTGGCACTGACCTCCCCAACAGATGCTAGAAGGAGTGGTGAGGTTGATGTTCTAGGCTGTGGGCGGATCTTTGTAGCAGCTGTTTTCAGGTGATGCTAGAGCTCCATGTACTTTAGGTAGGAGCTGTGGGAGGGTCCAGCCTTCTGTACTTGATGTTCAGTGTTGTCTCTAGGTTCTTACAGTTGCCAAACTGCTATTCTGCTCTTGCAGAGTGTGAAGGCAGCCCTGTGAAGGCCTCAGCCCCAAATCTGCTTGGTTTGAGGTCTGAGTCTTCAGTTCTGTCTTAACAGTCCCCGCCCACCCACCCTTTATTTTTATTTTATTTATTTATTTATTTTTTTTTTTTTTTTGCTTCATGAATCTTAGGCTGGCTTCAACTTGCTATGTAGCTGAGAAGCTGAAATTGACCTTGAACCTCCTGAGGTAGACATCCTATTCAGTAGGGTCCCACAGGACTGTCTGACTATCCTGCGGTTGAGTGCTGTCTTTAATCTTCTGAATATACTTTATGATTATGAGCTATAACAACTACAGTTAAAACCTCTATTTGGAAAAGGGCAGTTACAGTCCTGGGGGTAGAGGGCTGGAGTTTGTGGTCAAATGGCCTATTGGCCCTTTCCTCAGCCAATTTTTGGCTAAGTTTCATTGGAACTGTGCCCTTCAGGTAGGTAGTACCTCTTGCTGGCAGAGGTAGGCCCAGATTGGACCAGTATTCATGAAGCATGCCTGGTGTGTGTGTGTGTGTAAGTGGGTGTACAGGGAGAGGGGTGCTTGAGCCAGTGGGCACATGCAGTCAGAGGAGGATGTTCAGTGTCCTTGTTTGTGAGTGAGAGCAGGTTGCTTGTAAGGTTTAGTTAAACAGCCCCTGTGCAGAAACCAGCCATGCTTCGCCAAAGCCCCACACAGAGTCTACTATACCCACTTATGGGTGGTCAGCACTCATATTAGGGCTATCCTGGTTAATATATGATTAACTACCATGATCAAAAGCAACTTGGAAGATAGAGTTTGGTTTAACCATCATGTCACAATCCATTATTGAGGGAATTAAGGGCAGAAATTCAAGCAGGAATGTGGGTGGAAGCAGAACTGGAGCCGAGAGCACTTGGGAGCATTATTTATTGGCTTTCTCTTTGTAGCTTGCTCGACTTGCTTTCTTAAACAGTCTAGGCCAACTTGGCCAAGAGTGCCCACAGTGGTCTGGGCCCTCTTATATCAATCCTCATTCAAGAAAAGGCCCCACAGACAGGCCTACAAGCTGTGTGATGGAGGTAATTCCTCAGTTGAAGCTCTGGCTTTCCAAGTGACTACTTTGTATCAAATTAACAAAAACTAGACATAATTGATCCTTTGTCAACTTGACACACATAATACTTTAAGCCATACTCCCTTCATTTCTTATCTCCAGTATCTGATGTTGATATACCAATATAAAACCAAAAGCCAACATATAAATAACTCAAGTGTCGAGTCTCTGAGACTCACTCATAATCTCTAGGCTCCACAGGGTTGGGAGCTCTTTGCCACTTGTAGCTCTGCCATCCACAGCATGCCACAGCTTACCTTGTAGTCTCATGCTAGGTCTGCACTACATATGCGGCTGTCCTTGGTGCTTATCCCATAGTCCTGGGATTTCCAGCTGAGGCTACACCTTAACCAGTGGTCTCACCTGGATCTGAGCTACTTTCCATGAGCTCTTTAGTCCTGAAACTTCCATGCTACCAAAACCATTACCATGTGAGAGACTCTAACACATTAATTACCAAATTTGGCTGCCAGCTTGAGATGCAGCCTTGACCCCTTCTGGACCACAACTCTGTGCTAGCTCACAGAAAATACTTCCTACAGGATTGCATATCAGTGATGCTGGTCTTTTGTTAATCACACCTGATTCTTCAGCCCCAGCTAGATCCTTAATTTAAATACAGCACGTGAACATCTCCCAAGCTTGGCTTCCATCCTCTGCATTTCTTTCAGCACTTTTTTTTTTTTTTTTAAAGATTTATTTGTTAGGTATACAGTGTTCTGTCTGCACATATCCCTGCAGGCCAGAAAAGGGCACGAGATCTCATTACAGATGGTTGTGAGCCACCATGTGGTTGCTGGGAATCGAACTCCAGACCTTTGGAAGAGCAACGTGTGTTCTTAACCTCTGAGCCATCTCTCCAGCCCTCTTTCAGCACTCTTATCTTCTAAGCTTTTATAGAACAGCCCACTAGGCTTGGAACTCTGGCTTTTCTAGTCCAAAGTTTCAAATACTTCCACAATCCTTCCCAAACCAACTTAATCAAGTCTATCACAGCAATACCCTACTCTCTGGCACTAATTTTTGTATTATTTTCTGTGGTTGTGATAAGACACTATGATTAAAAGCAACTTAAGGAAGAAAGTTTATTTGGGATATAGTTCCAGAGGGATAAGAATCTTAGGACCAGGAAACATGGAGCAAGCAGCAAGCATAACAACCAGAGCAGGAAGCTCATAGCTTGTATCCTCAACCACAAAAAAATGAAGCAGAGAGCACGAAGTGTTAAGTAGCCCAAGGCTTTAAATTCTTAGCCTGCCTCTAGTGATGTACTTCTTCCAAGTCTGTACCTCTTAAACCTCTCCAGACAGTGCTCCCAACTGGGGACCAAGTGTTCAAATACCCGAATCTATGGTAGCATTTGTCCTTTAGAACACCACATGGGGCTTTCATGTATGTAGCACGAGTCTCTCAGACTGCAGTTCCTGTTGTAATATTCAGTGAACTTCTGGCCCACTTGTTCAGGAGTGATTTTCAGAAAGGCAGGATGGCTCTAACCTCAAAGGGGAAATAGTAGGCTTCCTAGGTTGAAGGGCAGGATGAAGGTCTTCAGGCAGCACCAGGTAGCCAAGCTTGCCAAACTCAAACTCCATGCTACTGAGTGCCTGTCAGCCCTAGCTTTGGGGAGAGTGATAGACTAGGTTTGTATATTACTAGGAGACAGGATTTAAAACAATTTTTTAGTTGTTTTGAGATAAAGTATCACTGTGTAGCTCTGGCTCCCACCACATCTGGCTAGGATTAAAAGTTTTTAATATGGAGTTATAAGTATATGCAGTAGTGATGGGCAGGGCCTACTTGTCTTGGAGTTCTTCTCTCCTTGTGCTGACCCGGTCTGGCCAGAGTGCACTGAGGCTTCTGCTTTCTTTCAGGGAGCAAAGCTTATACTGGCTTGCTATCCAGCAGCTTCCCACGGACCCTATAGAAGAACAGTTCCCTGTCCTGAATGTGACCCGGTACTATAATGCCAATGGAGATGTGGTGGAAGAGGAAGAGAATTCCTGTACCTACTATGAGTGTCATTACCCTCCTTGTACGGTGATTGAGAAGCAGGTATGGAATGCTCCGCTGCATCTTGGCCACCTCTGCCCAGCAGTGTGGGTGTAATGTGGCAGCTTTTCCCTGTAGACACCTGGGTAGCGCTGGGTGATTCTTCCTTTGCTGTTGTTTCTGTCCAGACAGGGCATAGGCTCTTCAGCTACAGTGCCTGTATACTCTCTTTCTCTGTCTCTCTCTCTTTCTCTCTCGGTATGTATGTATGTATGTATGTATGTATGTGTAACTTTTGAGATGGGATCTTAATCTATAAACCATCCTGGCCTGGAACTCACTAGATATCTAGATCAGACTGGTTCAGATATCGCCACAATCTTGCATCAGACATCCTAGTGCTGGTAGTCCAGGAGTGAACCACTGTGCCTGGCTTTTTTTAGGGGAACAGGTGAACAGGTGCTGGGGCTTGAGTCCAGAACCTTGCATGTGGACCTTATGCTGAATTTCATTCCCACGTAGGGTTTTAATTGCATTTTTCAAGATGCTGAGATATAGCTTTACATACATTTTGTTAGTGTGATATTGAAGCCACAATGTTTTGTGTTTCAGCTTCGGGAGTTCAACATCTGTGGGCGTTGCCAGGTGGCACGATACTGTGGCTCTCAGTGCCAGCAGAAGGACTGGCCTGCCCACAAGAAGCACTGTCGGGAGAGGAAGCGTCCCTTCCAGCATGAGCTTGAGCCAGAGCGATGACGGGCTGAAGAGCTGCCACTGTTGCAGGTTCAGGGTTTCTAGCTCGTCATGAGCGCAGTGGAAGACAGACTGGAGGTGCCAAAGAAGCCAGCAATGGATCCAGAGCAGCTGCCATAAGACCTCACAGCAACATGAAGCCTGTGGGGACAGCGCCCCTCCAGTGTTCACCCCCAGCAGAGACAACGGGAGGCTCCCTAGGACCTTTCTCATTATTTATATGTTAATATGTTTGTAAACTCATGTACAGTTTTTTTGGGGGGGAGGTAAGGGGAGGGTTAGAAACTTCAAATAGAATCATTTGTTGTATTCTTCAAATGGTAAACAGTCGGCACTCGGCTAGAAACTGTCATGTAGTCAAGCTTCTCTCCTGGGCAGTGGCGATCCCACTGAGAGGCTTGCACAGTCATGTCTAAACAGGCAGAGTAAAGGGGTAGAATCATCCTTGTGGCCAGTCTTTGCTCAAACCCCTGTTGTCCAGCCTCCCCTACCCCCCCTTGAGACAGTGTCTCTCCATGCAGTCCAGGCAGTCTTGGAACTCGATGTGTAGATTGGACTGGGCTGGCTTTGAACTCAAAGAGGTCCAGCTGCCTCTGCATCCCAAGTGTTGTGATTAAAGGCGTGTACTAACACGCCTGGCTCAGCTTTATTTTTGAGAAGAACTTAGTATAATGGAACTGATTATAATACTAGACCAGGAAGACCTGCCATTACTCCAGGTTGGCCTCTGAGCCGCAGAGTATGTTAGCTAGGAGCACAAGGAAGACTTTCCTGTCTGGTGGCAGGTGCTATGGAGTGTTCCAGTAGGCTGGCTACTGTTTTAGTTACTAAAGGGTACTTGTTTTAGTTAGGGCTTCTATTGCTGTGATACAGGCACCATGACCTGGAGAAAAGAGGGATTGTTTCATCTTGTAGTTCCATATCACTGTCCGTCACTGAGGGAAGTCATGACAGGAAGTGAAGCAGAGGCCATGAAGGACTGCTGCTTATTCGTTTCCTCCTCATGACTTGCCTAGCCTGCTGTCTTATAGCACCCAAGATCACCAGCCCAGTGCTTGCACTGTCCACAATGAGCTTGGGCCCTCCCAAGTCAATCATCAAGAAAATTCAGGACAGGCTTGTCCACAGTCCAATCTAGGGGACATTTCATAATTGCTTTCTTCCAAAATGACTCTACTTTGTGTCAAATTGACAAAACTAGCCAGCACAGTACTATATATCCCTACATTTGTAAATTATCACCTTTAGGCACAGAGACCCTTGGAGCTAGTAGTATACTGCTGCCCCAGTTCCAATTGTGGGTTGGAGTAGATGGGTTGGGGTCTAGGCAGCCAAAGGAGAGCCAGTGCCTCATTTCACTGCAGAGGTGTGGTCTCCAGGATAGCACTGTGTTCTTTGGGAGAACCACAGGTGTCTGAGGGCTGTTTGGTATCTTGCTCACTTTGCAGAAATGAACCCATCTGTATGACTGGAACCTTAACTCAGGGTATGGTCCTTTGTGCTTCAAGCTTCCTACCTGACTGCTTGCCTTCTGGTTGGTGTGCAGGTCCCTGCTCTACTCTTCCCTACTGCATTTCTATCACATTCCTTGATTCTCTGTGCTCAGTGCTGTTTCTGGCAGAGCACAACCCTTTGATGGCCTTATGTTTATAAGTAGCATCTCCATGGCTGTTTCTGCTTTTATGGTACACAGTGGCCTGGAGGGGAAAATAACTGAAACTCACAGTGGCACCATCCCTTGAGTGTTTAAGCTTAGAGAGGTGCCTATGTCAGACCTATATCAAGAAACACCCTTTTCTGTTCTGAAGGCCATGGTGGTTTTTAGCTAGCCTAGTTGGGATTCTGCCTCGGATCCTAGGTTGAACATCAATCTTTGTGATGTCATTGGGGTGGGGAGATGTGTGTATATATTGTAAAATATTGCTACCAACAGCAGCTGACTTGAGCCCTCCATGTCTCCATTTGGATAAACTAAGTGGTTAGGACTGTTGTGGTAAAGGGTTCCTATGTGGGTCGAATTTCTTGGGTTACAAGCTGTGATATTTGTATATTTAAGAAGAATGGCCAGGAGCCGGGCGGTGGTGGCGCAAGCCTTTAATCCCAGCACTTTGGAGGCAGAGCCAAGCGGATCTCTGTGAGTTCGAGCCTAGCCTGGGCTACCAAGTGAGTTCAGGAAAGGCGCAAAGCTACACAGAGAAACCCTGTCTTGAAAAAAACAAAAACAAAACAAAAGGCCAGGTTGGGGCTTGATCCTGTCCTTGTCCTCTGACCAGCAGGGGCTTCTTTACTCTGCCAGCTTTGCATCAGAAAATTCCACTTAGCACTCAAGGTTGAACAACTGACCTAGAGGCATTGCTGGTAAAGGTGATGGAATACATTGGGCTTGCCGGTGGGTTCTTTCCATCAACTCTTCTACACCTACTAGCACAGACGCTGCTGTGCAGGGAAGGGGTATATCAGGTCATTTTTGTTTTCTCCCCATATCTGTTACCACCCCGACCTCCCCTTCTGATTATCCTATCTCTTGTTCTTTGTAGCTGCTTGTCTAGGTTGTTCTATGAACGTTCTGGTAGTTCAATTATGGAACCTGTTCTCCCTTCTGTACTGTGTTGAGCTATTTGACCTTGGAATAATCTCGTGCTGGAGGGATTGAGGTCTAGGTGCCTCCTCTGCTTCAGCTGCTAACTGGCCTGCAAGCTGGGTATATAGCCATATCCCAGCTTCAGTTCCCAGGCTGGAATCCCAGGTGTCCTGTGAATTTTCTTCCTGAAGCTGCTGTAACTAAGTGCCAAAAACTGGTTGGACTAAAACTAGAGATTATTGTCAAAAAAAAAAAATAATCCCAAAAAAAAAGCGCTTGCTGCTACAGCAACTACAACCGCGAAGGAAAGACCCGACAAAACGCTGCAAAGGACAGCACCCAGGGCTCACCTATACAGGCTTCAAAACCTCAAAGCGCACACGAACGAAAGCCGCTCCATGCGACCAAATGTTCACGAAAACGAAGACAAAAAGGACAACAGACCCTACACAAACCATCAGAATACAGCTATAAAAACAGCATTTCCAAAGGAAACGAACCACTCGCCAAAACATCAAGATAAAAACATTGTCAAAACAAACTGGGAGCCACAAAATCTAAAAACATCAGGCCCCCAAACCGGCTACAAAAAAGGAACAGTCGTGAAGACCACTGCATCATCTTGAAAACAACCCAGGCTCAACCCCCACCGAACACAGGGCGACTCACAACCCGCCCCAACTAAAACTCCAGCAGACCCAACACCCGTCCACAGGCAAAACAGAACACCAACGCACACGAAAGAAAAGAAATCTAAAAAAGCAAGAGGGGACAAAGGAAAACAGACAAACACAGGCCCGCACCCATCTTCCGACGCCCAACCGATCGCCGGCAGCGGCGCGGCGACCCTACAGCCTCCACAGCAACTCGATAATAAAAGAACGCACGACACAGAACACCAAGACCCAATAAAAAGAAAAAACCACCGAATCAAAGATAAAACATAACAACAGAGAACAACGAACCAAAAGATCAACAAAAAGCACGGTGACAGCGACACAGCACAAAAAGGAAGACGAGCCGCCCAAAAAAAAAGAAACACAAAAACAAAAGAAAAAAAAAAGCAGCCAATCAAAAGACCGGCCAAAAAACCGAAAAGATGCCCCGAAAAACAAAAAACAAAAACAGAAAAGGAAAACTGGAAAAAGAACTCAAAGAACGTAAGGACCAGCCAAACGCAAAGGCAAACACGAGAACGCCCCCGCACATCAAACAAATAAAGAAAAAAAAAAAAATGACAGCAGAAGAGAAAAAGCATGACCAAAAAAAGAAAAAATTCACAACCCAAACGACAACAGAAGCTGGTGACCAAGCCGGGAAAAGCAAAGTATAGGCAAAGCAAACCAGAGAATCAACATATGCAGTAACCGGCAAAGGATGGCAAGAAACCTCAAAAGAGGCTAAAACGAAAACAAACATAAAACCCCAATAAGCAAAACACGACTAAACAGCTGAAGGAACTCCAAAGAAAGAAACCACACACCAGCCCACACATGAAAACGGAGGAACTCGGCAACACAATCAGGACCGACACAAGAATGAGGCCCCAGCAACAGACAAAGAGACAACGAAAATGAACCATGGGTACCAAAAGCAGCCACAAAGAAAAAGGAAAAAACCACACTCCAAAGAAAACGGGTCAAACTCAAAACCACAATGCCAAAAAAAATAAACCAAACAACGCAAGATAAAGACCAAAAACCGGGAAAGCCTTGGCTGACAGACAGAACAGTTAGTTGCCTAGAACCGGGGGTGGGAAATGAAATATAACAAATCATTGGACTCCATGATGCTCCTCCAATCTGTGAATGCATACTTTTTCTGTGATCTCCCGTCAGGTGCCATATCCCAGTGTCTGGCCACATACTTTTAGGCTTGGCAAACGCCAGTGGATCTATAGAGCTGCTCCACCTGATGGAATGTGAGGTCAGTAATGGGCCATGCTTTAATTGGAAAGGCCTTAGTGGAGGGGTCTACACTGATGCAGGCATTTTCCTAGAATGGTTTCTTCCATGATAGACTTTGTCATAAATGTTTTAAGAAATCATGGAGCTGGGCGGTGGTGGTACATGCCTTTAATTCCAGCACTCAGGAAGCAGAGCCAGGCGGATCTCTGTGATTCGAGGCCAGCTTGGTCTACAGAGTGAGATCCAGGACAGGCTCCAAAACTATATGGAGAAACGCTGTCTCGAAAAAACCAAGAAAAAAGAAAGAAATCAAGGAATCTATTTTAAGTTATACTGGGTTCTGATGACATGAGGTCACCTGGAGCATCTTAATAGAAGACGGTCCATAGGTCTGGGTTTCTGTAGGGAATGCATTGCAAGCATGTATGGAGTGTATACCAAGGCTAAGAGTACCAGTAAATTTTAATTGTGTGAGTGTGGATTTGTGCATGCCCACAGAGGCCAGAAGAAGGTGTCAGGTCCCCTGGAGCTGGGGTTCCAGGCAGTTGTTAGCTTCGTGATATGGATGCTGGGAACTGGATTCTCATCCTATGGAAGAATAGGCAGAGCTTTAAACACCGAGCCATTTTTCTAGCCCAGAAATGATACTTCTTACGAGTATTGGAAGAACAGACTTCTTAAGTGATTTTCCCCCCCAAGTGTTTCACAGTGATCCTGTGCCATGCTTTTGCAAAATGACTTTCTCTGATTATTATGGAAGGGCGCAGACCAGATCTGGGAGGGGAAGAGAAGTACATCAACAAACTACAGACAGCCCTAACTGGGAGGCAGGGACAAACACTAATGCTGTTGCTATCATGGGGTCAGGGAAAATATCTAGAAGGTGCTGACTGGTGGCAACTGAGCACCTGGGTAGAAAGCCTTGCTTCAGGACTGAGAATGCAGCCTTGTCCTAGAAATGAGGGAAGGAAGACTGGTCCTAAGCATCAGATTTCAAGGCAGGAGCACCAAATCCAAGACTTTAATACAGTGGCCTGCTTATGGAATCAAACACTATTCAGGTGGTTTAGATAATAAAACTCACATAAATCCTAGACAAGAGAAATAACATTGTAAAGACTGTTTTGGCCTCTGAAAAGGAAACAGCATTGCATTTCTATTCTCCTTGTCTCTGGGAATAGAATGTGCCAGGATTCTGAAGGCAGAGGTGATGCAGAGCATGTCCCAGCAGTGGTCTGTGGAGCCCACAAAGGTGACTGATGTGTCTAGCAGTACATAAAGGCAGCACTGAGAAACATTTTTGCCCAAAGGTTATGTATATGGCAAAGTCCTTAAGATATGACTTCCCATGTCCTCAGGCCCTGCCCTGTGCTTGGTCAGTGGCAAGAGCTCACTCTGATGAAATGTTAATTAGGGGCTGAGAGGAGAGCCTGGTGGCAGACTGCTTGCCTAGCATGCAGGAGCCTGGAGCGCCATCTCCAGCACTATTAAAGCATAAATAACAGCAACAAAAGCTGAGGCAAGACAGAGCCTGCCACTACTCCCAGTTCTTGGGGAGTTGAAGAGAAAGGATTGCTTGAACTTGAAAGTTCAAGATGAACCTGAGCAACATAGGAGACCCTGTCTCAAAAAACAAACAGATGTACGTTTGATGCACGTGGTAACTGATGCCCGTTGCTCATACAGGGAGCACCTTAAGGGAATGGAGGTTTGCCTAGACCAAGTGTCCCTTTTCTCTCCAGTAGAAGAACAGTTACACCCTACAATCAATTTCCAGCCTTATCCTGGAGGAGAGATGTCTCTCCTTGTCCCTGGATTGGTCAACTGGGAAACCTGGAAGGTAAGGGTCAGGTTTGGTGGGGGTCTGAGTCTCCTGAGGAACAATTCCTGTTTCTATTCCAAAAATTAAAGGCGACTTTCTACTAGCTTGGTTCCCCAAACATGGATGTTACTGTCAGTCCTAACCTTAAAACAGAAAATCATAGCATTTTAGATAAGTAGTGATGATGCCATCGTCAAGAGGAACCAGCCAGGGTTTCAGTGACAAGCTATGTGACAGTTTCATCCTTTGCCAGATACCCAAGAGGCCATCTTGGAGGCATGGTTACATGCTACCTGAGAAATATCTCCTGTGGCCTATATGAGGATTAGAAGAGGATGGTTGTAACGGTTCTTTCTTGTAATGCCAGCATTCAGGAGGTTGAGGCAGGTGGATTTCAAGTGTAAGGCCCACCTGGGCTACATAGAACCTGTCTCAAAAACAAACAAAAACCAGAAAAGGATGGTAAGTAGAGTTTAATAGGCTCTCCATTGGCTCCTTGTTTCTAGGGTCAGAGACCAGCCCTTGAAGATCATTAGCAGTGATTCTAAGGGGCAGCTGCATCTCCTGATGCTGAAGGAGGGAGTGGCTGAACTCCAGCTCGTGGCTTCATGGCCAGCCCACCACTTTGAGGCCTGGATTGCTGCTTTCAATTACTGGCAGACAGAACTCGTGTATTCAGGTGAGTTGGACATCAATATAGTCATCTCTGATGAAGACTTGTGAAGGGCAGGGAGAGGAGAGAATGGGGCTGGGCCAAAGCTGTGATTCAGTATGTGAGTGCGGCAGGAATCTTAGAAGGTCTCATTAATAAAATCAAACCCGGAGCCAGGTATTGGGGTGAACGCTGGGAGATCAGAGAAGCAGAACAAGCCACAGCTACCTCACCTCGCCGGATCCTCAGCTGATCCTGTTTCCTCAGACTGGATGCCTCTGAGTTCTCATCCAGAATGAATCTCAGCTGAACTGCTGCTTGAAAGCCTGAAAGATTAACCAGCCAAATGCTTCTAGTTTCTGGTCCTCATGCCTTATATATCTTTCCTTTCTACCATCACTCCCTGGGATTAAAGACTCACTTTCTGGGATTATAGGTGTGTGTCACATGCCTGGCTGTTTCCAGTATGGCCTTGAACTCACAGAGATCCAGAGGGATTTCTGCCTCTGGAGTGCTAGGATTAAAGGTGTGAGTGCCACCATTTTCTAGCCTTTGTATCTAGTGGCTGTTCTGTCTCTGACCCTAGATAAGTTTATTAGGGTGCACAATATTTTGGGGAACACAATACCACCACATGTGAGACCTTCGGACTGTCTATGGGAGATGTGAAATCTGTTCTCATCTACTTTTTGTCTGCTCTCTGTAGACTTTGTCACATTGATTTCAGGTTTGTCCTTTTCTAGATTTAGCTTACCTTCCAAAATTAAAGGAAGCATGAGGAAAATAGGTAGTTTTCCTAGTTTTTGAGTGGTTTATCACTTTGGGCTGGTTGTATGAGAATGAGAAATTAACAAAATTAGCCATTTTGAGTGCCTTCTCGTCCAGGTGAGCTAAGTCATGTGAGCTGGGAAAGGATAATCTTAGAGAAGACAGGATAAAATTTAAAACACTTGAGATTCCCAGGGCCTCATGTGGTCTAGCCCCAGCTTCCCTTTTTGGTCTTGTTTGTTTTGTTTTTTTGAGACAGGGTGTGTCTGTGTAGCTTTGACTGTCCTGGAACTCACTATGTAGCATGGCCTGGAATTCACAGAAATTCACCTGCTTCTGCTTCCAGAGTACTGGGCTTAAAGGTGCTTTTGGTTCTGTGTCTAGTGAGAAGCCTGCCCCAACACTACCTTCACTAGCCCAGTCCATGCCAAATCTCTCATGGACCCCAGCATCTACCATGGTTATTGTTATATGTGTAATGCTTTTTGTTTACCCCCCAGGGGCAGGGTCCATATCTGTGTTATTTGCTATCATACTCTTGAACGATTTTTGTAAGAACCATGAAGAGTTCATTTTTTAAGTTTTTTTAGTTCCCACCCCCTATTTTTTAAGTTCTTTAATTCTAGGATAAGTTCTACCTCTATTCACTCAACAGGTACTTACTGAGCTTTTAATGGAGGCTCAATCTGTCATCCCAGTCCTCGGGAGGCTGAGAAAGTATTGCTGTGAGTCTGATGTTAGTCTGGGCTATCTGCTTAGCCAGATCTCTCAAAACAAAACCAGACACACTAACCTTCATTTCCTCCAACCAAAACAATTGAAACAAACCCCCAAAACCAAAACAACCCCCTTCCAAACTAAAAACTAAAACCAAACAGATCCACAAACAGAAATACAAGCAGTTTATGTAACAGGGAGACTTTAGCAAACAGACTGTTTTCTCCAAGCTTACACTGAAGGGGGAAGGGGAACCTAATGTGAGGTAACAGGGAATTGCATGGAGTGTCAGCGGTGTGATAATGTTCTGGAGAAAAGAAGAAGAGTGTGCTGGAGAGCTGTGCATGCCGTGAGTGGTGGCCCCACAGCAGCCGTGGGCCTAGTGTGAGAGAAGAGCAGCCGCACAGCCGTGTGGAAATAGAAGGGCTTGCCATCAGGGGCAACAGGGCGGGCCACAGAGGGGGCTGGACTGCAGTGGAGTAACTGCAGAGGAGTGACATTTTCTGACATAGTTTAAAGTTTAAGAGGAGCTCTGGTTAGTTATAGATTACAAAAGAGGAGAGCCGATCCGGGGACCGTTAACCAGAGGAGGATAAGCGTGGCTTTTACTGGGGTCCGGAGAGATGGCTCAGCAGTTAGGTTCACTTGCTGTTCTTGCAGAGGACCCAGGTTCAGGCCTCAGCAGCCACATGGCAATTCACAGCTGTCTGTAACTCCAGCTCTAGGGGATCTGATGCCCTTTTCTGGTCTCCATGGGCAATAGGAACTCACATGGTGTATATGCACACATGTAGGCAACACACAAACATAAAACTTTTGAGACAGGGTCTCACTATGTAGCTCTGCTGTCTTGTCTTGGAACTCTCTATGTAGATCAGGCTGGCCTCAAATTCAGAGATCCGATTGCCTCTGCCTCCTGGTCCTCTGGTGGGATTAAAGGTGTATACCACCAAAAAGAAAAGAACAAGAATGGTTCATACTAAGTTGGGAGAAGTAAAGGTGAGAAGTATATTTGGGATCCATGTAAAGGCAGATCCAGTTGGATTTCCTGATAAAGATGGAGTGTATGAGTGTGTATGTGTGTAAATGTAATAGAACAAGGGAAGAACATAGTCCACTATGCAAATTTACCCAAGAACCATAGTTTATACTTTAGGTTCACCTGGCTTCATGCTTAGCTCAGCTTATCTGCTGTTCCACTTAATTAGACCATGTGCTTACTCCATATCCTTTGTGTCTATTGCAGGGATCTTAGTGTCTATTCAGTAAATACCTATCAGATGGGTATATGGATAGTTGGTGGGTGGTAGGTGCTGGATACGTGGGGAATGGATGAATGTGAGATGGCAGATGAAGGATGGAAAGTAAGTAAATTGATGTGTGAGTGATGGGTGTGATACTGGGTGGATAGTGGATGGATGGATGATTGGGTAATGGGTGAATAGTTAGTGAGTAAAGTAGACACTGCTCAGTATTTTCCCTCTCCCTTCTTCACCCTGCCTTTGGGCCCTGCTCTTGAGTCTTTTCCTTCTGTCAGGATTCTGTTTTTTACCGTCTGCCTTGGCATTGCTTTTCTTTAAAGACTAGTTGTTGACCAAGAGGCTAGTTGTCCTGCTGTTTCTTTTAGTTTTCATGAAACAAGCACAGGGCTTGGTTTTGGTTGTTGTTAAGAGCATGTGTGTGTGTGTGTGTGTGTGTGTCTGTGTGTCTGTGTGTCTGTGTGTGCACGCACACACATGTACAAGCCCCTGTGGAGGCCAGAAGACATGGATCTTCTGGAGCTGATGTTACAGGTGGTTTTAAGCTACCTGATGTGGCTGCTATGAACTGAACTTGGGTCCTCTGTAAGAGAAATACATGTTCTTAACCACTGAGATGCCTCTCTGTTCCCAAGGGTCTTTTTTCCTTTTTTAACTTGCATAGGGCATTTCCCTTTGCAGCCCATAGCGTGCTGAAGGGTCCAGAAGGGCCTACTGTAGTCCCGTGCCCACTGCTTCTTTCATGTTGCTCCTTGGCAGGAGTCTTGGATATGGACACTCTGGCCCTGGGCAGCTGGGGGTCATGATACTAAGAATCCTCCTGGAAGGTCTTATGGCCAGATATGACTCAGCAGTCACTCTCATGATTAGGATACCCAATGTCATACCACTTTTTGGTTTGTTTGTTTTGTTTTGTTTGTTTGGTTTTTTTTTGTTGTTGTTGTTTTGTTTTTCAAGACAGGGTTTCTCTGTGTAGATTTGGAGCCTGTCCTGGAACTCACTCTGTAGACCAGGCTGGCCTCAAACTCACAGAGATCCACCTGGCTCAGCCTCCCGAGTGCTGGGATTAAAGGCGTGCGCCACCACTGCCCAGCTCTTGCAGATAGATTCCTTATTAATGTCATTGTTGATGGACTTCTCTGTCTTCCCACAGGGGGAGATGACTGCCTTCTGAAAGGCTGGGACACTAGGATGCTTGGCACACCTGTCTTCACTAGCAAAAGGTACTGGTTAGAGCTTGGGCGTGGCCCCTCTGTGCTCCTGTCTTAGGACATTTCATCCTTTACCGTGTTTGTTCCGCTTTGCCTACAGACACTCCATGGGTGTGTGCAGCATCCAGAGCAACCCCCATCAGGAACACATACTGGCTACTGGAAGGTGAGTCCCTGGAGAGGGTCTGCTGGATTGTGCATTTCTCACCTCCTCTCCACAAGGACTTCAAAATTGAGTCCGAAGCTCTCAACCAACCCACACTTCAGGTGTCTGGGTCCAGAAAGTGGGGTATGTCCTTAAAGATAAGTGGGTAGGCAGTTTGTGCAGGACTTTAACCCCAGCACTAGGGAGGCAGAGGCAGGTGGATCTTTGTGAGTTTCAGGCCAGCCTGATCTGTATAGTGAGTTCCAGGTCAGCCAAGGCTTCATAGTGAAACCCTGTCTCAAAAAAAAACTGGTGGACAGGACCTGGGTGGTGTTTGGGGAGATGTGGGCATGAGCTTTCCTGTATGCCAATGACTGGATGGTTCCAGCTACGATGAGCACGTTCTGCTGTGGGACACTCGGAACATAAAGCAGCCACTGGCAGACGTGCCAGTGCAAGGAGGCGTGTGGAGGCTCAAGTGGCACCCAGTCCACCACCACCTACTCCTGGCGGCCTGCATGCACAACGGCTTCAAGATTCTCAACTGCCAGACGGCCATTGGTGAGTGGGGACATAGAGCTGGCCTCAGGGCAGGGAGTCAGGTGGTTTTCTCCATAGGCCACACCCAGAACTTGTCACAGCCGCCCAATACCTGTATTGGACCTCAGTTTCAAGAACCCACTTTCATCCTGGCTTCCTCATGCCCAGTTCAGTTGTCTAAGTCCTCCTGTGTTGTGCGGTTCCCTGGCTCCACCGGGGTCCTGTCCAGGAGTGTCACCACTTGTCCCATCCTTGCCCTGCCTTCTCTGAGTTTCCTACTTGTAAACACCTTGGACTCCAGTCTAGCCCTGCCTCACATGTTGCCTTCCCCTTGTTCCCTTTCTCACAGGTATTAGTTAAGCCTAACTCTGTCAGTGGCTGTAGGGAACGGGCCTCACTTCTAGGGGCTGCTGTAGAAGTTCTTGCATTTGCTTGGTGAACCACAACATGAAGTCACATGATCAGAACCATTTCCCATCCCCCTTTCTCTTTCCAAGCTTTAACTCCTTCCTCTCCTCATTCTCGGCTCACAGTTTCTCTTCTTTATCCCCTCTCCCTCTAGTCTCCCTCTGAAAAGAAGCAATCTGAAGACTACCCCAGGATCCCATCATTAAATTGCTAGTCTTTAAGTCACTACTTTCTTGTATCTTTTTAGTTTTTTTTTCTCTCTTTTTAAAAAAGATTTCTTTAAATTTGTGTGTGTGTGTGTGTGTGTGTGTTGCAGACAGGGTCTCACATAACACAAGCTAGCTTCAAATTTGATATTTGAAGCTGGCCTTGAACTCAGAGGCAATCCTCCCGTCTCAGTGTCATGGGTACTGGGACTACAGGGACAACCATATCTGGTGTCCCTGCTGGCTCTTGGGGATTGCTTTTACCAGCTGTCACCTTGCTCCTGGACTGTGGGCCTGCTCTGTCCTTCATGTCCTCAAAGAAACTTCCTTTCTCTGTTCGTAATGTCTCTTCCATGACTCTATACCATTGCAATGTGTACTGGCTTATTTCTGACACATTCCTCATCTGCGGGGCTGTCTAGGGAAGTTATTAGAAATTTCTTCTGCAGACCTACTCAGGACTACACGTTCCTAGCCACTGTGTTACAGCCAGAGGCAGTTACCATCAGTTCCTCACACTTGCTGTAGTCCTCTTAGCCTCTTGACTCTGTATGTGCTCTCCATTTCTTTCGCTTTTAAAAATATTTATTTTATGTGTCTGTGTGTGTGCCTGCCTGCATGTATGTATGGGCACTGTGTGCATGCCTAGCACCTGAGGCAGCCAGAAGGATTTAGGAATTTTTGGAGCTGGAGGTACTGGCAGCTATTACCTGCCATGTGAGTGCTGCAAACTCAACCCAGGTCTTCTGTAAGAGCAGCAAGTGCTCTTAACTGTTGAGTCATCTTTCTTGCCCTGTGCTCCCCATTTCTTTTCTGTCCTCTTCCCATCTTACTCCTGTGCCCTTTGTGAATGAGTTATACCTCCTTCTACAAAGTTTCTGCCAAACCCTGTAGTTTGGAAGCATGCCCCTTGTTTGTGGGTCTTGTATAGCCTGGGCTGATATCAGAGACATGGTGCACATTGCAAAATGCATATCCTATTTCTTTTCTGCCCACCTGTCCACATCTTCATTCTTCTTATGCAGACTTGCCAGCTACTCAGTAAATGTGTGCTGATGGAATGGCCACCCCTGGTGGGAGTTGATGGGAGACATAAATGGAGGCTGATTAGCTTTGAGTAATGCTGGTTTTCCTCTGTCCCTTGCTGCAGAGGAGAAGCAGGACGTGACTGTCTTAATATCCCACGAAATGCCTAACTCATTAGTGTATGGGGCTGACTGGTCCTGGCTTCCTTCCCGTTCCATGAAGCCTACACCCACCTGGTCCTTCGATCAAAATGACATGAGAGCAGTAGACTGCCACAGCCTGAAGGTTACAGAGGAGTCACCAGCACCTTTCCATGAACAAATAGTGGACCACCATGTGGAAGGCCCTGCTAAAGCTCACAGCAGAGTTGAATTGAAGGCCTCTCTCCTTCCATCAACAGAGGACATGAAAAGCAGCAGCCAACTGCGCTCCTCTTCCAAGATCAGTGATCTCAGCCTCTTTAGTGGAGGGAATTTTGACAAGAGCCTCCTGGCCACTTGCTCCTTTTATGACCATGTTCTCCACCTCTGGAAGTGGGAGACAAAGCAAGCTTGAGGCTGCATTCTTTGCATCTTTCCTGGATGTGACCTGGGGAGTGCCTTTGAGAATGGACTTTCTGATTCTGTTTTGGCAGTGAATGGGTTTTCCAGCTCTACAACTAAGTGTCTTGGGTATATTTTGTATTTTCAGCCCTTCATTTGTATTTAAGTCCTTATTTGTATTAATTAAATAACTTCAAATTTTTAAAATTTTTAAAAAAAATTATAATTTATGCATGTCTCTGTGTGGATGCTGGAAGAAACCAGAAGAGGGCAGTGGATACCCCTGGAGATATGGTTACAGGGGATTGTGAGCCACCATATGGGTTCTAGAAACCAAACTTGGGTGCTCTGCAAGAATATATGCTCTTACCCAGTAAGCTTCTAAACCTTTGAGTTAAAAAAAATATGCCAGGCAGGCAGTGGTGGCGCACGCCTTTAATCCCAGCTGGGGAGGCAGAGCTAGGCAGATTTCTGTGAGTTCGAGGTCAGCCTGGTCTACAGAGCCAGATCTAGGACAGGCACCAAAACTACACAGAGAAACCCTGTCTGGAAAAACAAACAATCAAATATGCCATGTGGTGGTGATGTACACCTTTAGTCCTGGCCCTTGGAAGTCAGAGGCGGGCAGATTTGAGTTTGAGGCCAGCCAGGGCTGCACAGAGAAACCCTATATGGAAAAACAAAAAAAACCCCAAACAATTATTTCATGTGTATGAGTATTTTGCTGTGCTCTCAGAGATCAGAAGAGGATGTTAGATCACCTGGACATAGAGTAACAGACAACTGTGAAGCCGCCTCGTGGGTGTTGGAAGAACAGATAATATACTCTTAACCTCTGAACCTTTGCATGCTAGCCAAACACTTCCCAGCTCTGAACTCATTTTAAAAATGGGTAATAGAATAAAAAGAGGCATGTAAACATTGTAAACTGCTTCAGGGAACACAAACTTGAAGTATTTGGCATGGTCAGTATGGGATACTCATCATTTCATAGCATTAATAACTTCATCAGTTTTCATGTCTAGATAGATGGGAACACATCAGTGGTGTGTAGCTAGCAAAATTCCCAGTGTCTTATCTGGAAGGAAAGAGGGCATTGGAATGTGTCTAACCCTCAGTAGGATACACGAGTGTTCTGAAGAGAAAAATTGTGTCTTATTCTTTTAAATTTTGGCCATCAAATACAGGGACTTGCACATGTTAGACAACTTATGGGCATTTAGCACTGAACTGTACTCCCAGCCTAGCTTTTCCTCCCCCACGCCTATATATTCCAGGCTGATCATAAGCTCACGATGTAGCCCAGGCTGGTTGGCTTTGAATTCTTAGATGCCTACCTACCTACCTACCTACCTCAGATTCACAAATATTGAGCTCATAGGTATGAGATATTATGCCTTTCTGGCTGTTTAATGCAGGGTCTTAGCTGGGTGTGGTGGTGCATGCCTTTAATCCCAGCACTCAGGAAGCACATTGAAGGTGGATCTCTGTGAGGTTGAGGCCAGCCTGGTGGTCTACATAGTGAGTTCCAGGACAGCCAGAGACATGCAGAAGACTCATCTTCAAAAGAAAAGGTCTTGCCACATAGCCACATAGCCCTGGCTGATCTGAAACTTGAAACCCCTTCCTAGTATCTTAAGTGTAGGACTACAAGTGTGCAACACTATGACTGTGCCTTGTTTTGTGGCTTGTGTATGTATGTACATGTGCACGAGTGTGGCAGGCAGAGGTCAATCTAGGTGCCATTCAAGAGGGCCTTGTCATCTTTTGAGCCAAGGTCTCTTCCTAGGATCTGAAGTTAGCTGACTAATCTAGACATGACTGGGCAGCAAGCCCAGGAGATCCTGTTGTCTCTTGCTGAGTGCTGAGATTACAAGCATGCGCTGCCACACTTGCCTTTTTACATGGGCTTAACTTGGGTCTTCGTTGACTGCATGGCAAACACTGTCTGGGCGGAACTCCCTCCCCAGTCCTTGTGTTGTTTTCTGATGAAATAACTTTTTTTTGGTTGCCATTAAAGGGATCAATTCTCAGTTACTGACCCAATTATTTCAATAAAAGGTGTTAATTACCCTCTGCCTTGGAGCTAGACCTGACTTGGTTGGAATTTGTTAGGGACTCTGTAGCTACTGCATGGATTCTGCCCTGCAGCACACTTGAATGACTTGATTCAAAACACACATTGTATGAGATACTAAAGGCCTTTAATAGAAATGCACAAGGAAGCTGCTCCTACTCTTCAGGATCCAAGGCTTGGTCAGTATTGTCTCCACTTTGTAGGCAAACTTTTGGTCACTGTCACTGTTTTCTAGCGTGGGAAATTCTTGGGATACAATTGGAACAGCTTGCCTTCCTGTGTGGGCTCAAAGCCATATTTCTCCAAGTTGTTAGCATCAAAAGTTCCTTCTTTAAAGTCTTTTTCAATAGCAGGTGCAGCTGTTTCCAGGAAGAGCGCTTTGGCCGTCAGGGGTGTGTCTGTGCCTTCAGGAACTCGGTAATTAACATAGGGCTTGAGCTTGAAGCCAGTCAAGTCCGGAACCACAAATTCTGGGACCATTTCCTTTACCAGCACAAACTTCCCATTAGAGGCATAAATGCCAGTTCTCTTGGCACCCCGGCTCTTGATGAAGGTGCGTGGTCCCCGCTTGCTTGTCCACTTGCTCATCCTGTCCGCTCCTCGCACCAGGCCTTGAGTCACGGCGGTCAGGAAACCCATGCTAGGCTCTGCAGAAGACAACTCTGAAAGAACAAGGCAGTTGGGGGGGGGGGGGCGGCGGCAATCAGAGCCAGAGGGACTCGGCACCCTAGAACTCACGTGCGGAGAGTGCTGTGGGCCCTATGGGTGCAGAAGATCGGAGGAGCCACGGGTGCTGAGGACCCAAGACCTCACAAGTGAAAACTACCCCTAATCCTGAAAGATCCCAGACCCCGAAGAACCCCGCGCGGGCGGCGCCAACTGAAAACGCTCAAACCGACCTGGACCGATGGCTCTCGAGCTCGGCCCGCAGGCCTCTGGTCCGACAGCTGAGACACGGATCCCCGACCTGAGCTGTATTAAACAACCTCGGCAAGGTCCTCCCTTGCGTTTCCGGCCGTCGGCAGGGTCAGCCACTCCGCAGCAAGAGCCTCGCCGATTGGTCGCCAACGCGCCCAATGCTCAGGCTCAGCCGGGTGGAAGGCGTGTGGCAGGAGACTCAGCCAATCCGCGCAGCCGCGCAGGACCGGATGTGGGGCGCGCGCAGCCGTGCATGTTCACCCTGCCGCGAGGTGGCAGTCTAGGTCTGTCCTGTGGAGAGGTCGCTCTTGGCCCTCGTCACCTCCGCGACCGGACGTTCACAACCACGGCGCCGAAGGCCGGCTGCGGGACTGGCGCGCGCATCCCCGGTGCTGCCCTAGGTGTTGGGGGTCGGGGCTTGTGGATCCTCCCAGTCCCCACCGAGCCGTGGCTTCCGGAATTGACGCGCTATTGAGGACTGGGCCGGTGACCGGCGGTCTAGCCCACGGTCTGGCGCGTGGCCGAGTCTACTTGGGTCCCAGTGGTCCGCTAGTTAACCATCTTTGGTCCCTACACACCCACCGTGCCTGCGCTGCCCGTCCACACGCTGCCCGCCGTGGCTGGGCCCCTGCAAACCCTCCACCGCTCTCCTTGATAACCCTTGCTGTCACGGCTCTCTTCCGGTGATCACTCCACGGCTATAACCACCTTCCCGTCCCTCACCGCTCCTAATCGAGACCCCTTCTGGGCTGTGACCCCTCTTGGCCCAGCTCTTGAGCTGGAAGCCCTCCTACGCCGCATCTCTTGTCTCTCCCTTTAGCGACATCACGCCTCCCGGGTGAGGCTCACCCTCCAAGCCGGTCACCCCTCCACTGTGGTCACCTCTCTCCTCGCCTCCCTCTTCTTTGCCTGTTGCTCCGTCTCGCTCCTGAGCTACTTTCTTAGCTGTCCCACCAATCTGAGCTGTCCCAACCTCGTTGAACTGTTAGCCAGCTTACACTCTGGTCTCCTCCCCCGCCCCCAGCCGCGCTGTCCCCGCGTGGCTGCTCGATCCCTAACTGTGCCACTCAATTCCCCACCCCCACCGCCACTCTCACCCCCACCCCGGGCCACGGTTGTGGGTTCCCCTTAGACCACGTGAGGGCTGTTTACAGGAGACGGAAGCACACAGAGAGAGCAGGAGCTTCTGGAAAACAACTTGTTTTGGAGCACAGAGTTCTGGAGTCCCTTCCAACAAGAGCGTTTGACTTGGAAAGGAGCTGGCAAGGCTGGAACTACAGCTGTCCTGCTGTAAAGGTTCCGGTAGAGCAGTTTGTCTCAGCCTGTCTCCCGTTCGCCCTCCACATTGCTTTGCTTTCAGTCATGCAGAAAGAGGAAGATGTCTGCCTTGAGGTAGGTAGACCAGGCCTGGATGAGAACCAGAACCCTTAGAACTCCCAGGCGGGCATTTCCAGAGGACAGAAGGATCCTTTGCCTCGGGTTTCTACAGAGGCTTCTTGAAGACCCAGAAATTGTGGGAGTAGTGACTCGATCTGTTTCCCTGTCAGAGCTCTGACACTTGTCTCTAGACAGTGGTTCCTCACAGTGAGGTGTGGACAATGGAACCTGGCTGTTAAGTCAATTATTGAAGCCCTTTTTTTTCCCCCAAGGTCGCAGTTGTTACTTCCCGTTTTTTCCTCTTAGAATGTTGATATTTGAAGAGTCTTTTTCTCAATTTAACACTAGCTACATCCCAAAGGCATTTTATTAGTAGTAGTGTTTTGTTTTGTTTTGTTTTTGAGACAAGGTCACTCTACATATCTCTAGAACTCACTATGTGATCAGGCTGGCCTTGAACTCACAGAGATCCACCTGCCTCTGCCTCCCAAGTGCTGGGACTAAAGGGGTCTGCCAATATACCCTGTGCCTTTATTTTTAAACCAGAAGAATAGACCCATTAGAATAATCGTAAGAAGCTAGACCGTCTGAGGTGGTGCACTATGGTGGATGTGTATGTATGTAGGTATTTTCCTTGGATGAAGTAAACTCAGAGGAAAGTAGAAGGTGTGGCTGGGGTGCTCTTGTGCACCCCAGTCTTGACAGCTGAGCTGGGACAGAGGAGAAGGGAGGTTGAGTTCCTCAGTTTTGAATCCAAAAGCATACTGGCTGTACACTGCACCACAGACCACATGCAGTAGTGAGCCCACCGATTGTATTGCTTGGTGGGGGAATGTGCTTGTATAAATGCACCCCGTGACATTCACACGATGATGAAGTCACCTAAGAACATGCTGGAACATGTTCTTCCTCCGCCTTAAACAAACAATTCTCAGCTATCTGCCTCCTGAACTAAGACTGCAAGGCAGTTGTCTAGGCAGCCCACTTACTCTGTTATGATGCAGGACTGTGCCTTTGGGCTTCTTTCTTGAGTGGCCTTCAGTCTCCTTGGGTTTTCTGGCAGGGACTGCTGAGTCTGCGGCTGTGTGTGTTTGTTTTTAAGGCTAGGCTTTGGTCCTCGGCAGTTAGGTGGAAACTGCAAAGGCTGAGTAAGTGGGCTCTTGCCCCGTTCCGTTCCTAACCGCTTGGGAGGAAGGGGCGGATGGGCACTGAAAGACTCAGGTCAGGTTTCTTTTTTCTCCAGCATTTGGGAGGATGAGCCAGCCTCCCCTGTTGGTCATCCATTCAGCCTTACATCCTGAGCTCTCCTGCCTCCTTCCCTTCCTTGGATACCCTGTCAATCCTGTCATTGCCGTCCTGGAGACAGCAGGGGCCAGAGACAGACCCTCCCTGCCATTTCTTTGGCATGTGAACTGATTTTGGAGATCTCTAAATCCAGATGGATCTTCCCTTGGGGTTTATTTTTGTCATTCGTCCTTTTTGTTTTGTTTTGTTTTGTTTTTAAAACTGGGTCTCGATGGTTGTCTAGGCAGGGTTTGAACTCCTGGGTGTACATGATCCTCTCGCCTCATCCTTTCAAATAGTTGGGAGTAAGATAAATGCGGATGTCAGTAACTTCACACACTCTTCGGAGTGTCTGACCATTTATTCTGAGTGGGCTCTCCTGGATCTTGGCGTTTGAGGCTCTAGTCTAGAGGGTACTGAGAGATGACCCCCCTGACCTTCACTAGGCTTGCTTCTTTTTTTTTTTTTTTTTTTTTTGGTTTTTCGAGACAGGGTTTCTCTGTGCAGCTTTGCGCCTTTCCTGGAACTCACTCTGTAGAGCAGGCTGGCCTCAAACTCAGAGATCCGCCTGGCTCTGCCTCCCCAGTGCTGGAATTAAAGGCATGCGCCACCACTGCCTGGCGTAGGCTTTCTTCTTGACTGGAGAGCCAAAAGTTGGGTGTATTAACATGCATGGCATTTACCAATAGCACAGCTACTATGCCTACTCATCCCAGTGCCAAAGGAGACAGGTTGCTGCTTTTCTGTTCTTGCAGTTGATCTCAGAGGGTCTCAGCACCCCTGGCAAGATCATTTCTTTAAATTAACTCTGTGTGTGTGTGTGTGTGTGTGTGTGTGTGTGTGTGTGTGTGTGTGTCACATTTCTGTGTGCATGTGTGTAGCTGTGCAAATGTAATGACACAAATGTGGAGGTCAAGGAACAATTCATGGGAATCTGTTTCATCCTGACACTGTATGGGTCCCCAGGATTAAACTCAGGTCATCAGACTTGGCAGCAAATGCCTTATCTGCTAAGTTATCTATCTGGTAGACCCCATTTCTCAAAAATCTTTAGGGCTATTGACTTCCTCCCTAGCTCCTGACTTTACTCTTGTTCTCTGACCAAGCCCAGGCTGAGAAACTGGGCACCCTGTCTGTTCTCTCCTCAGGCTGACTATTGTTTGGGTAACACCCTGACCTCCTGGGGGCTGCATTTCATGGAGGAGCAGTCACAGTTCACCATGGTAATCACTGTGGGCTTCCGGGGGGGGGGGGGGGGGGGGGGGGCTGGGCCCTGATTGGCGTGTGGCTGTGTTTGGCCCTGCTGACACTCCTGTTATCTGTCTCCCATCCTGTGTAGCTGGTGGGAATTGGAATCGGAGCCCTCCTTACGCTGGCCTTGGTTGGCGTTGCCATCTTTTTTGTGTACAGAAGGGTGAGCAGATTGCGTGAGTATCCTGGTTTGGACTCTGACTGAGCAGTGTCCTGTGAGGGAGGTATTTGGGGCTCCTGGGTGCTTCCCTCAAAGCCTTGTTGGAATGTCACCTGCTAGGGCTCAGGTTGAGGTTCCCAGTCTGCCCATAGCCTTTTCTGCTCTTTCCAAAGCTAGGATCCAGTAAGAACAGGAGAAATTCCTGGCTCTTCTAAGATGAGTCTCCTATGTTACCGCTTATCCCCGCTGTCTGAGAGGTAGCCGGGGACTGGGCAGCCAGGAGCGCGGTTTATTGTCAGCTTCTTCATCTTCAGGGCTTGTCTTGTGCTTTACTTTATTTTAGTTCCAGCCATGTTCACTGCCTAACCATTCAAGGCCGTATACCTAGACCCCTGCCATCTCACAGTGCCCCTTCCCTCCTCTCACAGGACAAGCAGAGCCCACTCCTCAGTACAGGTTCCGGAAGAGAGACAAAGTCATGTTTTATGGCCGGAAGATCATGAGGAAGGTAACTTGTATGGAAGCCCTGGGTTGCACAAGGTGGTGGTGAAAGTCTCGTCTTTCTTTCCTTTTTTTTTTTTTTTTTTTTAAATTTTCTGAGACAGGGTTTCTCTGTGTAGCCCTGGCTGTCCTGGAACTCACTCTGTAGCCCAGGCTGGCCTCGAACTCAGAGATCCACCTGCCTCTGCCTCCCGAGTGCTGGGATTAAAGGTGTGTACCACCACCAGGCAAGAGTCTCTTCTAAACAGGCCTTTGTGGAAGGGGGATCTGTGCTGCCTTCTCTCCCCTGATCCCATGGCTCCTGCCACTGGGTACAAGTTGAGGACACGTTTTAAGTCATAGTTATCTACTTCCCCAGTGGAACCAACACCTTTTCCCTGGAAATCCCTCACTGACCCTGGAGGCAGCCTGGGAGGCGTGGGCTGGTGGGTTTATATCTGGCTTGAAACACCTGAACGGCTTTGGCAAGTGCCAAGAACAGGGGCCCTTGGGCTTTCTGAAGTGCAGGCTTGTGTTAACAAGAAATAGGATAGGAAAATGCTTTCCAGAAACATCCCTGGGTACAGGATGGATAGGTACAGAGGGCTTGTGTTTGCCCCAAAGTGGGTAGTCACTGCCAGTTTCGGAAGGCTGAGCCAAGGAAGAACCCTAACTCTGGGGACCTGGGTGGAACAGTGCAGTTCCCTAACGACCACATTTGTCCTCTTTTCAGCCGGGCGTTGGTGGCGCACGCCTTTAATCCCAGCACTCGGGAGGCAGAGCCAGGCGGATCTCTGTGAGTTCGAGGCCAGCCTGGGCTACCAAGTGAGCTCCAGGAAAGGCGCAAAGCTACACAGAGAAACCCTGTCTCAAAAAAAAAACCAAAAAAAAAAAAAAAGCCCTCTTTTCCATGTTTGTGGGGGTTCCAGATCACAAATCTATGGTCCTCCTGCATGAGGGTCGGGAATAGGTGGCGAGGGATGAGCAGGCTGGTCTGAGTCTTGGTTTGCTTTTGGTTAACTGCCATAGCTGGTCCCTTCTGCTGTCTCCCACTCACCTCAGGAGTTTTACCGGAGGTGTGGAGCCACAGAGCTCTGAAGACTTGGCCACTTGAGGGCAGTGAGGACCATACTATGGGGTGAATGGGACTGTGTGCTGTGCCCTTGTCCAAATGGTATCGCTTTGTCCTTGACTGCTATATCCCCTTCAAGAAGCCAGGTGGTGGGGGTTGGTGAGAGCAGCCCCTAGTAGCTGAGGTCAGGAAGGCAGCAACTCATAGACAGGTCCTGGGGACAGACCCTGAGGCTGAGAGCTTAGACCTTGCCAGTCACCCGGCCAGCACTCAGTCTTTCTCTTGGTTCTGCAGGTGACCACGCTCCCCAATACCTTGGTTGGGAATACTGCTGCACCCCGGCAGCGAGTCAGGAAGAGAACCAAAGTGCTTTCTTTGGCCAAGAGGTACTGGGAATTCCCTTAGGGTCCTAACCACTGATGTGGCTCCTCCCACTTCAGGACACACCACAGAGCTTCTTGGGGCTTTGGAGCGCTCACAGTCTTGGGTTTGGGCTCCTCGATTCTTTCTCAGGTGTCTCTGCTTTGTAGGATTCTGCGCTTTAAGAAAGAATACCCTACTTTGCAGCCCAAAGAGCCCCCACCCTCCCTGCTGGAGGCCGATCTTACAGAGTTTGATGTGAAGAACTCTCATCTGCCATCGGAAGTTCTGTACATGCTGAAAAATGTTCGGTAAGACAGTGAATGGGCCACAGGGGGTCCTGTCTAGACTGTACTGCTGGAGGTTCGCCTTCCATCTTGGACTGTCTTTGACTTAGCTTTCCTATGTCAGGGATGGTTGGCAAAGCCAAGTTTCTTTCCACCTCAGCACTGCTGGCTTCCATGCTTCATGGTGGTAGAAATGTTCAGCAGGGTCAGGGTGCTTCAGATGTATGGAGTCTTGTGGTCAGCTCACCTTTTTAGCTGTTCCTTCCTGTTCTGTTGAACAGTTTTCATCATTATTATCCTCAGTGACAAACTCAAGAGCAAGTGTGAGAAGTGTGTGTATGGATCAAAAACGGCAAGCTGGCTTTTCTGTCTCCTTCTCTCTATTTGCTCGCTCTCTCTTTCCCTTCTTGACAGAATCTTGCTATGTAGCCTAAACTGGCCTTCAGCTTGCAATACTATGCTTTGGTCTCCCAATGCTGAGATCACAGCTGTGTACTATTATGTCAGCTTTCTTTTTTTAAAAAGGTACATTATTTCCAATTTTTGAAATTTATTATTATTACTATTACTATTATTATTATTATTAGTGTATGTGTGTATGTATGATGTATAAGTGAGGCTGGCACACATGTGCCACAGCACCTGTGTAGAAATCAGAGGACAATTTTGTGGAGTTAGTTCCCCCTTCCACTTTTATGTCATGTGGTGGTTTGAATAAGAATGGCCCCCATAGGCTCATGTATTTGAATTCTTAGTCATCAGGGAGTGGCACTATCTGAGAAGGAATAGGAGATGTGACCTTGTTGGAGGAATGTGTCCCTGGGGATGAGCTTTGAGGTTTCAAAAACGCATGCCAGGCCCAGGTATGCTTGCGCTCATTCACGCTCTTGCCTCTCCCCTGCCTGTGGATCAGGACAGAGCTCTCAGCTGCCGCTCCCATGGTGTGTGTACTACCATGGTCCTGCCATGGTGCCAATGGACTACCCTCTGACACTAAGCAAGCCCACGGTTAAATTATTTTGTGAGAGTTGCCTTGGTCACGGTGTCTCTTCACAGCAGGAGAACAGTGGCTAAGACGTGTGGGCTCTCACAACTTCAGGTTGTCGGCTTGTGTGTTGCAAGTCTGTAGACGCTGAGCCACCTCACTGGCCCACTTTCCTCTCTCGATGCTAGTATGTCATTCCAGGGGACCTACTATGGCCTTCTGTTTTGTGTCTGGCTTCCATTGATAGTCATGGCTTGAGAAGTTTTTTGAGCTGATAGTTATCTCAGAAGTTTAAAATTCTTGTCGACTTTGATGCCAGATGAGCTGAATCAGCCTTATAGAGGTCTAGGCCAGCCCTGGCCCTGCTGCTGGTGGGGACAGTGGCCTTTGTTCCTTACTCTGCCCTCTTGGAGAGCATGTTCTGTAGTATATTCTGTTTGCTGCAGGGTCCTGGGCCACTTTGAGAAGCCGCTGTTTCTGGAGCTTTGCAAACACATGGTCTTTGTGCAGCTGCAAGAAGGGGAGCATGTATTCCAGCCTGGGGAGCCTGACACCAGCATCTATGTGGTTCAGGATGGACGGCTGGAGGTCTGCATCCAAGATGCTGTGAGTCTGGCCAGGGGCCAGGGTGGGGAAGGGGATGCTCTGAAAGCTCTTTGTCAAAAAGTTAGTGTAGAACTTTGTTTGTTTGTTTGTTTGTTTATTTATTTATTTAGGTTTTTCGAGACAGGGTTTCTCTGTGTACTTTTGGTGCCTGTCCTGGATCTCACTCTGTAGATCAGGCTGGCCTTGAACTCACAGAGATCCATCTGGCTCTGCCTCCTGAGTGTGGCATGCACTACCACCACTCGGGTAATGTAGAACTTTAAACCTTAGTTCTTTGGTGAAAATCCACACCCTCACTCCAGTGTTCAAACACAGCTGCTATTTTAATTTTGGCAACACAACACACACACACACACACACACACACACACACACACACACACACACACACATCCATACATTGAGACAGTTTATTCAGTAGTCCAGGACAGCCTGGAATTTACTCTGAAGCCCAGGCTGTCCTTGAACTCATGGCAATCCTCCTACCTCAGCTTCTTGAGTGCTGGGATTACAGGCCTGAACCAACACACCTGACACAGCATCTTTTACTGTTAGGCACACGGGAGTCTCTGATTCAAAAATATTGTCATTTTTTTTTTCTTAACATTTATTTATTTATTATGTACACAGAAGAGGGCGCCCGATCTCATTACAGATGGTTGTGAGCCACCATGTGGGTGCTGGGAATTGAACTCAGGACCTCTGGAAGAGCAGCCGGTGCTCTTAACCTCTGAGCCATCTCTCCAGCCCAATATTGTCATTTTTATTGGCAGTAATTAAACTTGGACCTTCAGGGCCATTGTAGTCAGTCCAACTAAGTCATTTAGTTTGGAGGAATTTGCTGGGTTCGGATGAGTCCTAGGATTGGGAGGTGATGGCTGGGTTAGCCAGGATTTCTTCAGTAGTCCTCTACTCGTGTGTGTGTGTGTCTGTGTGTGTGTGTGTGTGTCTGTGTGTGTCTGTGTGTATGTCTGTGTGTATCTGTCTGTCTGCCTGCCTGCCTGTCTGTCTTAGGGGTTCTATTGCTGTGATAAAACACCATGACTGAAAGCAACATGGGGAGGAAAGGGTTTATTTTAGCTTATAGTTCCGGGTTATAGTCCATCATTGAAGAAAGTCAGGGCAGGAACTCAAGACAAGAACCTAGAGGCAGGAACGGAAGCAGAGGCCATGGTGTAATACGGCTTACTGCCCTTTGCCTCATGGCTTGCTCAGCCTATTTTTTGTTTTTGTTCCTTTTGAGGGAGGGTTTCTCTGTGTATCCCTGGCTGTCCTGAAACTCACTTTGTAGACCAGGCTGGCCTCAAACTCACAGAGATCCCCCTGCCTCAGCCTCCCAGAGTGCTGGGATTAAAGGTATGTATCACAATGCCTGGCTACCTTGTTTTTTGAGATGTGGTTTCTTACTAGTCTGAACTCACCATGTAGGCTAGGCTGACTTGTCAGCGAGCCCCAGAGATCGGCCTGTCTTCACTTCCCCAGCATTGGGATTACAAATGCACACCACCAGACCTGACATTAACATTTTAATTGTTATTATATGTGTGTGTGAATGTGTGAGTATTCTCTAGTGTGCACACGTAAAGGTCAGAGAACAACTTTTGGAAATTTGTTTTCTTAGTTTCCTGTGGGTGTAGGGCGTTTACCCACCAACCCCACAGCTCCCCAGAGTTTTCTTGAGTGCGAGCAGCAGGAAATATTAGATAGAAGGATTTATAGCGGAGAATCTTGTGGAGATAAACAGATAGAAAATAAAAGATAGCCTCGAGAGGGCCTGGAACCTTTTCCAACAGGACTAGCTCTGCCTCGGTATTTATAGAGACACCAAGGGGTGGAGCAAAAGACCTCCCCCCAGCACAGCCAAGTGCAAACTATTTCAGACACCTGCACTCAGGCCGGTGGTCCTAATCATGATCTATGCAGACCTGCTGGGTAAAGCCACCGAGGAACCTGAATATGGGCTCCCACATGTGGGGTTCCAGGGATCAAGCTGTGAGTCTTGAAGGGCGGTACTTTTAACTGCCGAGCGATCTTGCTGGGCCATATTTGACTTTTTGGGGGGAGTTGGGAGTGGAGACAGAGTCTCGCTAAGTGTGACAATGCAATGTTATGAAAATATAGGTTACATTTTAAGAGACTGGAACTTTTTCTGGACCTTACAGCTAGAGTTAGTAATATGCCTTAAGGTCACTTAGGACAATAGTGACCCTCAGTTGTGCACTCAGCCTGTTTGCTTAGCCTGCCTGAGAGAGGACAGTGGAACAACCAACCTTACTTGCCTTGGACTTCCCCGGCATAAACTTGCGCAAGCTAAGCTAATGTATAGCTGTAATCTTAAATTATGTACTCTTCCATACCCCTGATCCACAAGTAATGCTTATCTGTATATACATCATGGTAGTTAATGCTGGAAACAGCAAATATAGGTTGAAAGCAACTTATGAAATGAATGTCTGCCATGTGTTGAAGACAATATATGAATATTGATTGATAGCATTTATTCACTTGTCTGGGTCAGTCGGAGTCGGTGACTTAAACCCTTGTAAAACTCTGCTAAAGATTTCTGTGAGGTATTCCTCCTTCTCCATGTGATGCTTTCTGTACTGTTCAGTAACAGAAAGAGAAAAGCCCTATGTTAGGGACACACAGACACATACAGGAACAGCAGCAGGCAAATTCAGAAGACAATGTTCATGGAGACACAGATTCAGATTCATACAACTGTAGGTGGATTTTTCTTTGGGCCACCAGCTCACCAAGAAAAAAAAAAAAAAGACATGGAGACTTTAAAAAAAAAAAAAGTTCATCTTTTTATTGGACATGTTAGCAAAAGAGGTTTAGTCAAAAAGACCAAAGCCCATGTCATCATCAGACTCCTCAGATTCTTCCTTCTTTGCTTCCACTTTCTTCTCCTCAGCTGGGGCAGCAGCAGTCGAGGGGGCAGGACCGCCTGCTGGCGTGGCTCCAGCTGCTGGAGCAGGCCCACCAGCCCCTACCTTGCAGATGAGGCTCCCAATGTTGACATTGGCCAGGGCCTTTGCAAACAAGCCAGGCCAGGAAGGTTCAACATTGACACCAGCTGCTTTAGTGAGGGCATTGATCTTGTCCTCCGTGACCGTCACCTCGTCGTCATCGTGCAGGATGAGGGCGGAGTAGATGCAGGCGAGCCAGGAGTCGGCGGCCACGTTACGGACTGCCAGCACGGTGCTAGTTGGGGATGAAGTGAGGGCCTCACCCCAACCAGCCTTAGCTTCCTCAGAAGAACCGAGCACCTTAGCAGCAGCTGAGGAAAGGCGACATGGAGACTTTTATTAATTATGAAACTTGGCCTATTGCTTAGGCTTGTCCCACTTGCTCTTACAACCTCAGTTAACCCTTTCTGTTCATCAGCAGGTTGCCATGTGGCTCGTGACTTTTACCTCTCCTCTAGCCGTGTCTTGCATCCTCTCTGCATCTGGCTGGCAACCCCTCCTTTCTTCTTCCCAGAGTTCTCTCTGTCCAGAAGTCCCTGCTGTACCTCCTGCCTAGCTATTGGCTGTTTCGCTTTTTATTAAACCAGTCACAGTGACACATCTTCACACAGTGTAAAGGAATATTCCACAGCATACAACAGACAGGAATGATGGAAGACACAGGGAGAGAGAAGTAGAGAATTTAAATCTCACTCTTTGTTAAATTACAGCAAGGGGAAGAGCTTTTTAATTTCTTCTCCTTAATGCCACACTACAACATTTTGGATACTCTGAGGCTATCATTGATGTGTTCAAACCAACATGCAACTCTGGCTGGCCTGAAACTCACTATACAGACTGGCTGGCCTGGAATTCTCAGAGATCTACCTCCTGACTGCTAGGATTAAAGTTGTGAACCACTGTCTCTGACAGAATTTGACGTTTTCTAGATGCATTCCAGCCCCGCTTATGGTATCTCCTACTTGGGCCTTTTCTGTGAGATAGCACCTCGGATGAAATCTTGTATGCCAACTGTCCTGGGTGCTGCCCTGTACTGACACTCTCTGTACTGATACCTGTGGTTCTGTTCTCTAAGCACAGGATGGCACCGAGGTGGTGGTCAAAGAGGTTCTGCCAGGGGACAGTGTCCACAGCCTCCTCAGCATTCTGGATGTGATCACTGTGAGTACGCCCTCTCCTACCCTGCCGTAGGAGCCCAAGCACCTTGGCTTTCCCTCGGGTCGTTCTTCCTGACTTGCTAGACAGTGAGTCCCTTGTTGTTAAAGGCTACGTCTCTGCAGTAGCTCAGGTGAGGGGCCGTCTAGGAACGAGAACAGCTCTCACTTGGTAGCTAAGGAGGTGTCTGCGGCAACAACTTGGACACTGTTTAAGATAGACTGTATTTAGTAAGTCTTCCGTAGTCCTTTCTATTGCTGCTTCATCGGTCTGTCTTTCTGTCTTTGGTTCTAGGATCTTACTGCATATATCCCAGACTTGCCTCACATTCTTTATCCTCCTGTCTTGGCCTCCAGAATACAAGTGTGTGCTACTGTGTGTATTACAAGTGTGTGCTACTGTGCCAGACATTCTCCACTCTTTATTCTTTATGGTATTTGTTCACGTACAGAAGTGAGCAAAATCATCGCACCAGCCCATATATCTTTTATCAATTAGGACTAAAGGTGTGTGCTGCCATGTCTGGCTAATTACTTTTCTTGTTGCTATGACAACAATACCTGACAAAAGCAGTTTAAGGTTTTAAGTTTAAGGTTTATTTCAGCTCACAGTTTAAAAGTGTAGTCTGTCCACCCGGCAGTGGTGGCGCATGCCTTTAATCCCAGTACTCAGGAGACAGAGGCAGGTGCATCTCTGTGAGTTCGAGGCCAGCTTAGTCTACAGAGTGAGTTCCAGGACAGCCACAGCTGTTACATAGAGAAACCCTGTCTGAAAAAGAAAAACAGTGTAGTCCGCCATGGACGAGAAGGCATGAGAGCAGGAATAGGAGCTGTCCACAGTGGAGAAGCAGAAGGACAAGTGCCGGTATCCGGCTCACTTTCTCCTTTTTATCAGTCTGAGATCTTAGTCCTTGGGATAGTGCTGCCTACATTCAAGATGGGTCTTACCTCTAAGTTAAAAACCTTTCTAGAAACATCCTATAGACATACCCTGGAGTGTGTTTCTATGGTGATTCCAAATTTAGTCCAGTTAACAATGAAGATTAATCATCACAGTTCCATTCTGCTAGACTGTGTTACTCTGTCTTCAGAGCAGTAAAGGAGCACCTTGTTTGGGCATATCCAGACAGACTGCACCAGGAGTCCAAGCCTTTATCTGGGACCACAGGGAAGCCCTGGTGGGACCCACCGACCAGCCCTTAGTTGCATGCTTGTCATTGAAGCAACAGGTTCCTTGCGTGGGCTGGGGCGTCTTGTGTGTCTGCACTGCTGCCTGTCAGGTCGGCACGGAATGCTGGGTCTTATTTGGCGGCCTGGAGGCATCGGTGGGACCTCTGTATACTGCTGTGCCCCATTTGTCCTTAGTGGAGGAGGCTGCTTGCCTAAGAAAAAAGACACCTGTCTTCCAGCAAGGCAGAATTGCCTTGAAAGACGGGCGCTCAGCTTTGAGGAGGCTGCTGACAGGTGAGTGGGGTTGGACAAGAGCAGGTTTCCAGTCCAAAGAGTCATCTTTTGCTGGTCCGAGAGAGGCATTCACTGTGCGGTCCTGTGGCTGTAGCTGGCTCTGAGGATGCTCCAGGATGTTTAGAAGGGACTGGTGGGTCTGGGAAAGGATAGGGGACACCTAGAAGACTTTGGTCTATGTGAGGTAGATCAGTTAGCCACTTGATATCTGCATCCTTCCTCCATCCTGGCAGTTAGTTTTTCTTTCTTTCTCTTTCTTTCTTTCTTTCTTTCTTTCTTTCTTTCTTTCTTTCTTTCTTTCTTTCTTTCTTTCTTTCTTTCTTTCTCTCTCTTTCTTTCTCTCTCTCTCTCTCTCTCTCTCTCTCTCTCTCTCTCTTTCTTTCTTTCTTTCTTTCTTTTTTTTAAAGATTTATTTATTATGTGGGCTGGAGAGATGGCTCAATGGTTAAGAGAACCGACTGCTCTTCCAGAGGTCCTTAGTTCAATTCCCAGCAACCACATGGTGGCTCACAACCACTTGTAATGAGATCCGGTGCCCTCTTCTGGCCTGCAGGGACACATGCAGACAGAACACTGTATACATAATAAATAAATAAATCTTAAAAAAAAAAAAA